CAATTTTATACAAGTGAGCGATTGTTCAGGTGAGGACTTTGTCAGGTGTGCTAATTTTTTTCATTTATCGAAGCTTGTGTGTGCTGTTAGAACAAATTCTTTCCGATATCTCGGAATTGAACCTACCGTCTTCACGCATTCGCTGTTTAAAATAAACGAAGGACTCCACTTCCTCAGTCTATTCAAAAATTTCTGTAGAATTATGTTCTTAAAGGGGGTTCATCGTATTACTATTCTTCACTGTGTTCAAACTCTAAAGATACCACAATGCTTCGAATGACAACGTTAGTCCCAATAAATCACTTTGATCCAAGACTCCTCCACAGTAAACAGTTAAAAATATACGAATACTTCTAACTCACTTCTAGCTGTTTGAATGCCTTATTTGAGCCCTCGTGAAATGCTTGGAATATTTGCGTAGCATCTGCATTTCTGAATGGATTATGAAGTACTTTCTGTCATAAAGAAAACTGCGAAAAAGTAAGTCTTAGGTAACGCGCTGGCACTCAATTCTAACGAGATAATGTCAAAGTTTTTACAATTTGCTCCCTTCAAAATCGTATTATATTGAATCAGAACCACAACTAACGCGTATTGTCGAATAACAGCTCCTCCAGGATGATTCAGAATTGTGTCCTCGCTGATGTGCAACCATTTGTCATCTATCTGAACGAACCGCTGTATGTTCAAATGTAAGTAGAAAGAAACGAAGCGCAAAGTGTGAGAAACGTCCTGTGAGTCACTTGTCACTTTCACTCCTATCGATTTCATATAGATTTTCGGCGCATTTCGTATAGATTACGATTACGTCTCATAATTATATTAGGTTGTCAAAAAAGTCTTCGCATTTTCTTCTTCATCTTGTAAATCTTTTGGAATCGTTTGAAACATTCACTGTAAACGCATGTGAGCGGTGGTCAATGCTCTCTCCACAGCATTTCTGTCGTAGCATTTCGCAGTGTTTGAAGCTGGGAAAATCGTCTTTTACTGAAGGTATGTTCGACTGCTCCTGCTTTATATGCCCACAAAATGCGTGGATTGAAGCGATGCAACAAGAGGCCTACGGGTCGTGCTAGATCTCCAGGCTAGCTTTCACACTGTTGCAATTATTTGGTTATCGATGATTAGATACCTGAGAAGAAACCACAAATGTGGTCGGCTTGTTACACTAAATGAAGAGTGTATTCTGAAGTCGATTGGGAAGGGTCCTTGTGGTCATGCACGGGAGATGATAGAGCTTTTTAGTGTTATACAGCACAGAGGCCGTTTCTCAATATCTCCTTGAAAGGAAGAAGAGAAATTTGGCAAAAAGAGAGATTCGTGGTCTGGGTGACAATCGCCTAGATGCCTTTAGATTTGCATGAACATTTCGATTTAGCGCCTCTCTCTCATTTGACCCGATACCTTAGTGGTAACAAGAACTGGAATCGTTACGC